TTTTTTTTTTTTGGCCAGGGCTGGGTTTGAACCCACCACCTCCGGCATATGGGGCTAGCGCCCTATCCTTTTGAGCCACAGGTGCTGCCAAAACCGCTCATTCTTTTGATACAGTATCTTCCTGATGCTGTTAAGGTTTGGAACATTTCACATCCTTTACAGTATTGGGCCTCTTCAGAGGCCACTGAACGTACATGAACCTGTTACCTCAGACCTCCTCTCTATTCTGTTCTAATTTGTAAGGTCTGATAAATGAAAACCTTGTAAGAATAGGACATATTTGCCTTTTACACAGCAATTCACTGCCTGGTCTAAACTTAAAAACTTGGTAACAGGAGATAAATATAACATCTGAGATTCTTTATACCTAGAAAGAACAGCATCCTAAGCTAGACTGACCCTAGAGAACAGCTATTTGGTCAGCAGATTTGCATTTGTGTTTACCTTATTTAAAGACTCTTTTGTATGAAACTAAAATAGTGTTGGAGACTTTGAGGAAACTTGAAGACAAGCTTAGTTATTTTATATATATATGTATGGAGGTAATAAGTATAAATTGTATGAAAACTACCTCTTACAAACCCAACCATGCCTCTAAATTTTTATTAAAATACTTGTTACTCTGCTTTCCAAGTTTGTCTGTTTCAGTTCTGTTTCCTCAGACTTGGGTTTGAGATTTTCACTAAACAGAATCAGGGGCTTAGATTGAGCTCTAGAGTAGATCTTTATAGGAGAGATGCAAATTAAGTGATGGAACTTGGTGCCATGGCCCATGCCTATAATCCTAGCACTTGGGAGACCAAGGAGTGTGGATTGCCTGAGCTCACAGGTTAGAGAACAGCCTAAGCCAGAGCACGACCTCGTCTCTAAAAAATAGCCGAGGGCAGTGCCTGTAGCTCAAGGAGTAGGGTGCTGGCTCCATTTGCCAGAGGTGGCAGGTTCAAACCTGGGCCAGCAAAAAAAAAAAAAATAGCCGAGCTGGGTGTTAGAGCAGGCGCCTATAGTCCCAGCTACTTGGGACTGAGGCAAGAGAATCACTTGAGCCCAGGAATCTCAGGTTGCTGTGAGCTGATGCCCTAGCGCTCCACCGATGGCAACAAAATGAGACTCTGTCTCAAAAAAAAAAAAAAAAAAAGTGATGGAAAGTCTTGTTCTTGAGATTAGAAGAAGCTCCACTGAGTTATCCTTTTGTTGAATTGGAGATTTCAACAGAAGAATCAGTGTTCTAGCTTTCTTTAAAAACCCTTGAAAAATAAGCATTGGTTTCGGTAGATAAATAACTTTGATATTCACATATCTTACAATAGAGCTGGAAGTGGTTTGAGAAAGCACCCAATCCAAAGCTTCATCTTGCATATAAAGAAACAGGCCCCATCTATAATTGTAGCACTGTGGAATGGGTGGAGTGCTGGAGCTCAGGAGTTTGAGATCAGCCTGAGCAAGAGCGAGAGCCCATCTTTACTAAAAATAGAAAAACTAGCCAGGTGCCTGTAGTCCCAGCTACTTGGGAGGCTACAAGGCAAGAGGATCACTTGAGCCCAGGAGTTGGAGGTTACTGTGAGCTGTGATGCCACAACACTGTACCCAGGGTGACAGAGTGAGACTGTCTCAAAAAAAAAAAAAAAAAAAAGGGAAAAAAACCTTTTTTTTTTTTTTTTTTTTTTTTTTTTGAGAATCTCACCTGGTCACCCTCCGTAGATTGCAGTGGTGTCTTAGCTCATAGCAACCTCAAATTCTTGGGTTGAAGCAGTTCTCTTGCCTCAGCCTCCCAAGTAGCTGGGACTATAGGCCCTGGCTGCAACACCCAGCTACTTTTAGAGACAGGGTCTCACTCTAGCTCAGTCTCAAACTCCTAAGCTCAGGTGATCCACCTATCTTAGCCTCCCAAAGTACTAAGACTAGGCATAGGCCACTATGCCCAGCCTTGCCATTTTTTTTTAAAGGAAAGAGAATGATAAATACAAAGTTGAAGGTGCTTTCTAAGGCAGCGGTTCTCAATCTGTGGGTCGCACCCCTTTGTAACAATGAAAATACATCCTGCATATCAGGCATTTACATTATGATTCATAACAGTAGCAATATAACAGTTATGAAGTAGCAACGAAAATAATTTTATGGTTGGGGAATACCACAACGTGAGGAACTATATTAAAGGGTCGAGGCATTAGGAAGGTTGAGAACCACTGCTGTAAGGAAAAGGC